CAGCACCCATTTATGATAAAAACTGTCAGCAAAGTGGGAAGATAGGGAGCATACCAAAATATAATAAAAGCCATATATGACAAACCCACTGTCAGCATTATATTCAATGGACAAAAACTATGACTGTGCCCCTTAAGATCAGGAACAAGACAGGGATGTCCACTTTCACCTCACGGGAAGTCCTAGCCACGGAAGTCAGACAAGAAGAAGAAATAAAAGGCATCCAAATTGGAAAGGAAGAAGTAAAACTGTCTTTACTTGCAGATGACATGATACTGTACACAGAGAATCCCAAAGATTCCACCAAGCAAGTACCACAACTGATAAATGAATTCAACAAAGTAGTAGGATACAAAATTAATATCCAGAAATCAGTTGCATTTTTATATGCCAATAATGAACTAACAGAAAGGGAAGTTAATAAAACAATCTGTAGGGGAAATGGAGTCAGTCAATGTCCCTCACTGGGCCCAACAAGCAGTACTCCCATAGCCTTGAGAACGGCCCGCATGGGCAGAAACATACTTTGTTATATAGTATCTTAGCACCCTGCTGGCTTTGTGTGCACTTAGTATATAAGGGGGTCAGGACTTCCCCATGGGGAGACACACAGCCCACACTTGGTTTGCTGCGTGCATGGATTGCCCCACCCTTAAATAAAGGCATGTCAGGCATTCCCACAGCTCCACGTATATTCTTCCTTCTGCCCAAATCCCGTGTGAACCTGTCGGGCCTTGAATGATTGCAGCATACAATCCCATTTACAATTGCTTCAAAAAGAATAAAGTATCCAGGAATAAATCTAAGCAAGGATCTAAAAGACCCATGCTCAGACAATTATAAGACACTGAAGAAAGAAACTGAAGGTACAAATATGTAGAAGCAAACACTGTGTTCATGGATAGAAAGAATTAACATCATTAAAATGTTCACACTACCCAAAGCAATCTATAGATTCAATGCAATTCTAACGAGATTCCAAAGACATATCTCACAAAACTAGAACAAATATTTCAAAATTTTATATAGAAACGCAAAAGGCCCCGCCATCCTAAGAAAGAAGAACAAAGTTGGAGAAATTACATTACCTATTATCAAACTATATTATAAGTCCACAGTAATCATAATAGCCTGGCACTGGCATAAAAACAGACACAAAGATCAATGGAACAGAATAGAGAGCTCAGAAATAAACCCACACTTTTATAGTCAATTAGTATTCGACAGAGGAAGCAAGCACATACAGTGGGCTAAAGATAGTTTTTCAATAATGGTGTTGGGAAAATTGGACAGATATGTGCAGAAAAATGAAACTAGAAGAATTACACCACACAGAATAAGAAGTTCAAAATGGATTAAAGACAAAAATGTTAGACCTAAAACCATAAAAATCCTAAAACAGAGGCAGCAAAGTCTCAGATATAGCTCATAGCAATATTTTATCTGATATATCTCCCCAGGCAAGGGAGACAAAAGAAAAAAAATAAACAAATTGGACTACATCAAACTAAAAAGATATTGCACAACAAAGGAAAACATCAACAAAATAAAAAGACAACCCACAAAATGGGAGAACATATTTGCAGATATATCTAGTAAGGGGTTAATATCCAAAATTTATAACAAACTTATAAAACTCAACACCAAAAAAAATAGCCCAATTAAAAAATGGGCAAAGGACCCGAATATACACTTCTCCAAAGAGGACATACAGATGGCCAATAGATATATGAAAAGATGCTCAATGTCACTAATCATCAGAGAAATGCAAATTAAAACCACAATGAGATACCATCTCACACCCGTCAGAATGGCTATCATCAATAAATCAACAAACAACAAGTGCAGGTGAGGATGTGGAGAAAGGGAAACTTTTTGCGCTGTTGGTGGGAATGCAAATTTGTGCAACCACCATGGAAAGCAGTGTGGAGGTACCTCAAAAAATTAAAAATGAATCTGCCTTTTGATACAGTGATCCCACTTCTGGGAATATATCTGAAGAAACCCAAAACACTAATTTGAAAGAACATAAGCGTCCCTATGTTTATTGTAGCATTATTTACCATTACCAACCTATGGAAGCAGCCCAAGTGTCCATCAGTTGATGAAGCAGCCCCAAATATGGGACATTTACATAATGGAACATTACTTGGCCAGAGAAAAAGAAGAAAGCTGTACCCTTTGCAACAGTACAGATGGACCTGGAGAACATTATGTTAAGTGAAGTAAGCCAGTTAGAGAAAGACAAATACCATATGATATCGGTCATATGTGGAATCTAAAGAACAAACTGAGCTAACAGGTAGAATAGAAACAGACTCATAGATAGAGAATAGGATAAAACCTGGGGGGGAAGAATGAGGGTGGAGGGATTGAGCAAAAAGGTAAAGGACTCATGAACATGGACAACAGTGTGGTGTCTGCAGAGGGGAACACGAGGGTGTAAGGGGACCAAATGGTAATGGAAAAATACAATAAAAATCATTTAAAGATCAATACACATATTTAAAATTAATAAAATTAAAAATATTTGATGTAGTGATGCCTCATTGTGCATTTAATTTGCATTTCTTCAATAACTAATACTACTGAGCATCTTTGCATGTTCTATTTTTATTTCTATATCTTCTTTGTGAAGTGTCTATTAAAATCTTTCACTCATTTAAAAAATTGGGTTGTATTACTGAGTTGTAAGGATTCTTTATATATATGGTATTCTGGATATGAGTTCCTTGTCAGATACATAGTGAATATTTTCTCTTTTTAAATGGTGTCTTTGGAATAACAGAAGTTCTACATTTTGATGAAGTTACATCTGTCTTTTCTGATTAATGCCTTTTTTTTTCATTGTATGTAAGAAATCTCTGCCTTCCTCAAGGTCACAAAAATTATATTTTTTTCTAGAATTTTATAGTTTTAGCTTTTAGGATAAAGTATATGATTCATATCAAATTAATACTTGCATGTGGTGTAAGTTAAGGATATCATACTTTTTTTTCTCCCCTGTGGATATCCAGTTGTTTCAGCAATATTTGTTGAAAACACTTTCCTTGACATCTATTGAAAGTCAATTGACATATGGGTCTGGACTGTATTCATTGACCTATATGTCTATCCTTATGGCTACCTACCACACTATTCTATAAACTGCTTTTATACTAAGGTTTGGAAATAGGTATGCAATGTGCTCCAACTTTGTTCCTCCTATGCATTTCCATATAAATTTGAGACATCTTGTCAAATTAAAAACTGTTCTGGGATTTGGGGATAACTGACAATTTTAACAATCCAGGGTCTTCTAATTCATGAACATTGGAGTAGCTATTTATTTAGGTCTTCAATTTCTCTTTGGCACTGATTTATAGGGCTCACCGTACAAGTCTTGTACATGTGTTCTTAAATTCACCTCTATGCATTTCATGTTTTAGGACGCTGATGTGCATTATATAGTTTTATTTTGAATTTCAATTTCCAGTTGTTCTTTTCCAGTATGTAGAAAATGATTGATTTTTGTTACATTGACCTTGTATACTGCAACAAGCTCCAGTAACTTTTTTGTAGATCCCTTAGGATTTTCTAATTACACAATGTTGTGAATTGCAAGTAGTTAGACTTCTTTCTTCTCAATTTAAATGCCTTTTAAAAATAGTTGTTCATAGTGTTCATCAAATGTGAACAATTTTGAGCCATTATTTCTTCCCCAGGCGTACCTTAAATTCCCTATCCCCCTTCCAGCTTTTCTCCCTTCCCCCCTTTCTCTATTGGAATGTCTTCCTCAAAATTATCTAAATTCTCTGGTGCAGGCTGCTAGTGCTGCCTGGGCTATGGGCCAAGAGCCTGAATTGAGACCACGTGGGCCAGGTTGTTTTCTCGCTTTGGTGCCCTCTCCAACCCTCTCCAACGCAAGAGAATGACCTCAGACCAGAGTCTCTGTAATTTTCACTTGGTTGTCCCCACTGGGGCCAGGCTTATGTTCCAGGAGTAAGGCCTAACAAGCTGATGGCTTCTGTTGGCCTGCGCAGAATTTCTTGAGCTGGAGTTCCAGAATCGCCAGGAGAGTGCTAACATGCTGATTTGGGGTGACTCAAGGTGTTTCACGCCTGTGAGTGGTTTACATGGATGCTTTCACTTAAGTCTCACAATAATCTCATGATGTTTTAAAATTCTTCCCATTGAGGAAACTCACGTTCACATAGTGAATAAGACTGGTGGAGCCAGAAATTTGCAGTTTGAATTTCAGTACTCTGACTCCAGAGTCTGCTTGCTGTCTTAATTGTGTTCTTTAAGGGGAAATAGGCAAGAGCTATTAGGAGAAAGCTTGCGTATTTGGAGGAAGATTCAAAACAAAACAAAACAAAAAGCAAAGAGATATCATGGAGAACAGTGGGATACTATCTTTCCCGTGGGGAAGAGTTCTGTTAGCCCTACATCTGTGGATTGCTTATATCTATTCAAACTTTTCTCCCTTGGCATCTTGCCACGTGCTCTTTCCTCCAGCTTCCCTCTAACACTCACCATTCTGCACTGCCTTGAAATTATGCCCCTAAAACACGTGGCTCCATGAAATTGACAAAGTGGGCCAATCCTGTTGTATTCCCACCATTCATGTCCCACAGGCCAATAAAAGTGAAACGGGGTGAAGTAGACTTCTTCCCCAAAATATCTTAATGTGTCTTTGGTGGGAAGATCCCAGGACTTGTCTCGGTATCCAGAAACAACTTTATGAAAAGCTGGGTGTGGCAGAGCCACTCTAAACCCAGGTGAGTTCTGTCTGTCCCAACAGAATGCATTAGTAAAGAGCCTGTTGCAAGGCACACGACGTTTGGCTCATTTTTTGGGATGAGGTTCCCTTAGCCAGAGAAGTAGACAGGTTTTACGTGGGAGTTTCCAAATCGTACCCAGGGACTCGGAGAACAGGAGCTCCCGCACTCCGGGACAGGCAGCCCCGTCTCCCCCTCGCGCGCGCTCCCGGGCCAGGGGCGGGGCGCGCGGGGCGGCGGTCGGGGGCGCCCGCTCCTCCCCGCGCGAGCTGGCGGCGCCGAGCCCCCTGTGCGCGGCGGCACATGGGGCGCCTGACTGAGGCGGCGGTAGCGGACAGCGGCGCTTCAGCTGCGAGCTCTGCAGGGTCCCCGCCCACTCCCCTTCCCCTCTCGGCCACCTACCCCAGCTGCACGGCCACCATGGCGTCCAGCGAGGAGGACGGCACCAACGGCGGCGCCTCGGAGACCGGCGAGGAGAGGGAGGCCCCTAGCAAGAGAAGGCGCCTAGGCTGGGCGGCTACCGCCTGGCTCACCTTCTACAACATTGCCATGACCGCGGGGTACGTGCGCCCTAAGAATCCTGGCTCTGCCTCAGGCCCTCCCCGCGTTGCTGTTCCCCGATACTGCGCGCCTGGAGCGCTGGCTAGGTGGCGGGGGGGCGCCCGGGTGGGGCCCGCGGAGGTGCTCGCGGGGCCGGGAAGCGCGGTGGTCTCGGCTCACAGGACGCGGGCAGAGGCCGTGGGGGAGGGGCACCGCCGCCGGCGAGTTGAATGGAGTGGAGCGGGGTGGGGATCCGGCCCTGTTCACCCGGCATTGCCTAATACGGTGCACGGCGTGGCGCGGTGGCCGCGGACCGCGGGCCGGAGGTTAAGTATAGACCCGGGCTGGAATGCGGGGCCGACTCGCGGGGGAGGCCGCTTCGGCCTCACAGTCCTGGGTGCCGCTGCTGCTCCTGCGGTTGAAGAAACGCCTGGCTCCAGCCATCGCGGAGCTGTCCGGCCAGTGTCCGAAACCTGGTTTCCCGGTCGCGGACCCCTAGCGTGCATTTCCTCGTGTGGCAGATCTCTTGGCAGAGTTTTCTTAACTGTTAATGTCACCACAACTTTTTAAGCAATAGTACTTCCTAGAGCTTCTTACTCGGGAAGATTTAAATTAAAAAAAAAAAAAACTTATTAGAGCGTGTCGCCCGTGTCCAGTATCCTTATGGTCCCTTGCTCCATTACTGATACCCTGTACTTTACTTCTGGCTTTAAGTTTGAGTTGCACAGAAGGTTACACAATGACTATCGCTCTTAAGAGCTGTCAAAGTGACTTCTGTGTAGGCTGCGTTTTAAAAGCTGTTAAGAACACGCTCTTCTGTTTCTGAATTGCATTGCCTTTAAAAGGTAATTATTGATATGGCCTGAGTTAACTAACCTATATAAATGTGGGGAAAGCTTAAGAAGCTTTTATAGAAAGCTTAGAAAAATGTGATTGGAGAAGATTTAATAAATGATTTGACACAGCACTGAGCTTGGTGTACAATCCTGAATACCAAACGCAGTTCATAAGAAATATAATATTTATTGAGGATTACTGTGTGTCAGGCACTGTGTAGGTACCGTCTCATTTTTAGCCCTCTGCTATCCTGTGAGGGGTACGTGATATAGTTGATAGATTGGGAAACTAACGCACAAAGAAGTTAAGTAGCTTGCTCCAGATCACACAACCAGCCATTGTCAGACTTGGTCTTCAGCCCAGACAGTCTGACTCCAGAGCCATGTTTCTTCTTCGCCTTTCTGCTTTACTTACTTTTATGATCTCGAAAGCAGAAAGCTCATGTGTTCAAACCATCTGGAGAACAATTGAGCACCCTCTATGTGCTGATACCTTTAGATACAGTGGAGGCTGAAAGAATTCTCTCTCCTCTGTGGTAGTCTTATCCAATCAAAAAACGTTTCAGAACACCCGCCATTTATTAACTGGTCTGCTGTACCTTCTCTCTTCAGTCCAGCCTTTCTTTAGAACCCTAAGTTACCCTCTAACATATAAACGTCAGTGCATAACTCTGGTTTAAAGCCTTCATTGACTCACTATTACCTTCACCATAATTGGGATTTAGGCAGTGTGTCATTGAAGGCCATTCTCAATACGCTTCCAGATGCCCGTTTCCAGTTTTATTGCATTTGCAATCCCCCTAACGCATTATGCCCTCAAAGCACCATGCGTTTTAATTTTCACGGCTCTCTTCATCTTTGCTCAGACTGTTGTCTCTTTGTATAATATTCTCCATGTACCTTCCATGACTTCTAACCAAGCTACCCTCTTTGAAGCTTTCTAGGTCTCTTACCTGACCTGGAGCAGAGTTAAATGCTGTCTCCTTAGTGTTCTCACACTTCATTCATCTCCTTCCTATCTGCCCCAGCAAATTACTGCTTGTCTGAAACTTGTCTGTCTCTGTAACTATAGTGAGAAGGTTTTTTGTCACTCTCATCTCTTTTTAAAGGCAAGGATAACTGGAATTGAATAATCTAGATAACTAATTCTGTGGAGGTTTTCTAGGGCCATTGAGATTTGAAGGAATAGGATTTGCACATGTAGAGGGTAGACATTTCAAGTGAGATAAATTCTGTAAATATGCATGAGGTGTAAAGGATACCGGCCAGCAAGATCCATCTCAGCTGCGGATGTTCATTGAAATATGCTAAAAACATACACAGAGACAACCAGGTCCTGTAAGGGAATGGGAACAGAAGGGCCACTCATCACGTGGGGAGTGCCTTGTTCCCCCTCCAGAGAGGCTTTTTATTGGTTTCCTTTGAAAAAGAATTTAGGTAAAAGCTCATTATTCATTGCTAGGAGGTAAGGATCAAACAATAGATAACAAGGAAGTCCAAGGGCCTATTTTGAGTCAAAGAGCTGTAAAACTTTAAAGAACAAACTTACTTCTTCCTTGGACCCTTATCATTCAACTGAGAGCATTCTAAACAAAGCAGGTTTCACAGGATTTTACATATTCTTTCATAGGCCTGATTACCTGGGGAACCCGCCCTTTTCAGCACAGAGCTGCACCACCCTGTCATTGTTTCAGGCTTAGGTGGAGCAAGGGAACTTATGCAACCAAGAGATAAGGAGATTTTTCCCCCAGACGCTGAGGACTCAGGCTTTATCAAAGCCGAGGAGTGAGGGTCCATCACCCCCTTTTGCTGTAGCCACCAAAGTCCTTTCTTGGGGGTCTCCCACATGATCATGCCTGTCTTAGATCATGCCTGTCTTAGGTCGTTCCCCCCTTAGGGAATCTTACCCGTCATTGGCTAACTGACCAAGCTTTGGGGTTCAGTTATGAATAAAGCAGCAGAAGCAGTGCTCCTGCCAGGGAGATAAGCTTTTTTCTCCTTGCTGGCTTATGGTCCAAGGCCACTCCCTCAGCCTTAGCCTTGGTGGGGGTTACAGCTTCTGATACCAGGCAGGGCGGTCCCCAACAAGATGTAAGAAAGCTTGGTATATTCTCTTGATTTAATTGGAAAGTTGACAAATAGTGGCAAATAAATTTGGAGAAGTTGTGCTGGAAATAGGACACCAAGGTGTACATTTTAATGGGGTGGATAGCAGAGAGTTAGCCGAGGGTCTTAGTTTAGAAAAAATTAAAATAATGTTTAAGAAATAAAAATTTTACATAAATATAAAAGAGAACTTGCCTAATTCTATAAGCTTAGCATGACCTTTAATTTTTCCTTTTTTTTTGTATGAGTATAATGTCCAGGTTTTTATTCAAATCTCCATTCTTAGGGGAGCCTTCCCTAACTATCTGATTCAAAGAGCAACCCCACCCAAATACTTCCTATTGTCCTTGCCTGCTTTGCTGCACCCCACTTATTGCCATATAACTATCCAATGTATTTTACTAATTTGTTGTGTTGCTTATTGTCAGTCGTCCCCTATTGGAGTGCAAGCTCAGTGAAGCACTCAGGAAATTTTATTGTGAATTAGTTCATATTAAAGAGCATTGTAGTTATAGTATCTGCTCTATTGTATATTCTGTTTCACTTACTATTCTGTCAAATATTTCTATATAATTTTCATAAATACACTCATGGTTAACATAAGAGAATATAGATTTAATATACAATAACAGATTAAGTCATGCACTAATGACATTTTACTTTTGTTTCTGTTGAATTAGTTGCTTAGGATGAATTCTCAGAACTAGCATTACACATTTAAAGGATTTTTATGGTACTTTTTTAAAAAATTGATTTTAACGGGGGAGAGGGAGGGAGGGAGGGAGAGAGAAAAAGAGAGAGAGAAATATCCATTTGTTGTTCCACTTATTTATGCATTCATTGGTTGCTTTTGTGTACGCCCTGATCAGGGATTAACCTGCAACCTTGGCATATTGGGACAACACTCTAGCCAACTGAACTACCTGGCCAGGGCTTTTTTTCCTCTCCCCCTATGTTTCAACAAAAAACCATTGAGACTGTTAAGTACATTGTCCTAAGTTAAGTAAGTGACATAAGGTAAATATTTTAGGCCCTATCCTTGAGGAAGTGTAACCTGGAGCATTTATAGATGGCTGTAAGAGACAAATGAAATAGAACATGTTATAGAACTAGAACACCTGTCTGCAGAGATGCCAGGTCAGACAGGTAGGGAGAACTAGAGAAAGCTCTGTGGGCAGACCATAGTATTTCAACTGGGCATTGAAGGATGAGTAGGATTTAATAGGCATGATAGGGAAACGGCATGAGTTAGGGCACAGAGGTGGACATTGCTGGACCTGCTGATGAGGCAACAACAAATGGGCTGAAGTGTAGGGAGGGAAATGGGGATGGGCGGGTGGCTTAGGCCACAGCAAATGCTTGAAATGCCTTGCTGAAATGTTTGGGTTTAATTTGTAAATAGTGCAGGAAGGTGTTGATGAAAAGTTATATTTCACTCCTTTTTTAGCTGAGTAACCTCAGATAAGTTACTTAACCTCCGTGACCCTGAGTTTTCTCATCTGTAAAATTGGAACAAAGTTTTGCTAGATTATTACAAGGAATAAACAGATTATGCATATAAAGTGTCCAGCAGGGTTCCTGACACACAATGAATGTTCAAAAATCATAATTCCTAGTCATAGTGGTTAATTTAAACATGCACTTCTTGCAGAAAGAGCAACTATTTAAGGTAGTTTCACAGTGTACACAGTGTGAGTTATCAGAGCACCACACCTAAGGTTCAAGCATACAGGGTGGGGCAAATGTAGGTTTACAGTTTCTCATATTGAAAATAATCCAGTTATTAATAAATAATGATACAAGAATAAACTCTGATACTGGCCAGCTAGCTCAGTTTGTTCAATCATCCCATTACACCAAGGTTGTGGGTTCAATCCCCTGTCAGGGCACATACAGGGCACATTGGTTAATGAATTGGTGGAACAACAAGGTGACATTTCTGTCTCTCTCCATTCCTCTCGTTTCCTCTCTCTGTCTCTCTCAAATAAATAAAAAAAGAATAAACTCTGTTTTGCATATTCACAACTATAAACCTACTTTTGCCCCACCCTGTATATGTTTCCCAAAATGTTAAGTAT